GAGGAGCGCGGCGGGGAAGAGACATGTTCCGGTGGCTGCCATGGAGCCTGGAGGCGGGAGATTCAAATGTTACGCAGATAAAAGGTGAATCAGAAATGATTATTGTGGAAATGTATAATAATATAATTAATATAATAATAATATTTTTTTAAGTAAATATTTATATCACGTAACTGTGAGAAAATGAAAATGCGACATGAGCAACGCTTTGTATAGTGATGGGTGATGGAACTGGTAGATGTGTGTATCCAGTTTCTGTTGCGTATTGGTATGTCTACGTTCTTGCTACATATTTGCTTTTTTCTCGGGTAAAGTTATTTTTTAATATTTTATGAGTTAATCACTTATATACTCTGTTAGTGTAAAGTTTTTTTACATTGACAACCAATTATATCTTTTAATAGTGTCATGTCATCTGCTTATTTAATAAAATAATAATAAAATAAAATAATTTAAAATATATGATTGGTTGTCGGTGTAAAAAACTTTACACTGACAATGTATGGATGATTAACTATATATATATATATATATAAGGAATGATCTGTTCAATAATTCATGTTCTACATTAAATTTTAACGATCCAACCATTAAATTTAAAGTTCTTAATACATAGAGAAGTCTACAAAATTTTATAAAATTTGAAAATCATTTGATACTTTATTTCATTAATTCAAATTGATAGATAATCGAATAGTTTTCAAATTTTTTAAAAATTTACAGATTTGATCTATGTAATAAGAACTTTAAATTCAACGATTGAATTGTTGAAATTTGACGTAGAACATAAGTTATTATATAGAGTAAGTTTAGGTAAACTTATTCCTAAAGTAAATAGATCTCTCCTCTCTATCTATCTATATATTGTTAGATAAATCCTAAGTTATTGTATTGGGCTCTCTTTCTATGTGGAAAAAAGGCCTAAAAATTGAGAAGTCCAAATTTTATCTCAATTAAAAACCAAGTAAAGAGGGGTCTCTTAAGGACCAAGAGAGAGAGAAAATTACACGACCGTCAGGGAGAGAAAGAGAGTAAAAAAATTTGTCCGCATATATAGAGCAGTTTCAGTAAAGTTGCGACCCCACTTTGTTTATCATTTTTTATTTTGTATTTATATTAATCGAAATCGAATATAATTAATATAGAAAAATAGAATATTAATTCTAGTTAGAAACTAAAAAAAATATCTTTTTTACATGAAATGGATATATTTTTCTTTATTCTTCAATTGGAAGGCTTTGTTGCTTTAATATATTGACTGGTTGTAAGCATTTGTTTATGCATTTGATTAGATTCTCTTGTACCCTTATTTAATCATAGTGGAGCTTGATTAACTGCCTTGTGTCCATAGGTTTTTACTTCTCACATTAAGAGGGTTTTTCACGTTAAAAATATCTGTGTCTCTTTATGATTGTTTTTCTGCCAGTTATTTATTTTGTTGCTCCTTGTTGTTTTTTGCAAGTTGGGGACTGCTACGTACTTTGGTACTCTTGATTATTGTGTTGTTGTTTCCCCTATCACAGTGGCATCAGAGCTCCTTGGTTTGGGACTATATTTACTTGCTTAAATGATGGAGGCAAATACAAAAAATGGTTCCTTTGAATGGTACAAATTATCATTTGTGGAAGGGAAAGATGAAAGATTTGTTATTTGTGAAGAAATTGCATCTTCTTAGAAGCCAGATTCTATGTCTGAAGAAGAATGAGACTTTGAGCACCAACAAGTGTGTGGTTTTATTCGGCAATTTGTAGAAGACAATGTTTATAATCACATTGCTAATGAGACACATGCTAGAACTTTATGGGAGAAGATTGAGTCTTTGTATGCTTCTAAATCAGGGAACAATGAATTGTTTTTGTTCAACTGTTTGATGAATTTGAGGTACAGGGAGAGTTCTTCCATTTTAAATCACTTGAATGAATTTCAAGGGCTCCTAGATCAGTTATTCGAAATGGGTATCAAATTCGATGATGAAGTTTTGGGACTATGACTATTGAACATTTTACCTGAGTCTTGGACTCTTGGGAGACATTTCGGGTTTTTATTACCAACTTGGTCCCTAATGGTGTTGTTTCTTTGCAAGCGGCAAAGAGTGGCGCTCTTAATGAAGAGATGAGAAGGAAGGCACATGGTTCTTCATCTCAGTTTGAGATACTTATCACAAAAATAGGGGGAGATGTCAGGAAAAAGAACTGAAGGGTGGTAGGGGGAAGAGCATGAGCAAGTCCAAGTCAAGATACAAGAATGTGGAGTGCTATTATTGTAATAAACCTGGGCATATCCAAATGAATTGTTTTTTATGGAAAAAAGGAAAACAAAGGCAAAAAGGGTAAGTAAAAAGAGAAGGATCATGATGATGATTGTGTCACTACTACTACAAGTGGTGATCTTATTCTTCTTTGTGACTATGAGTCTATTAATCTTGTATCAGATGAGAGCATGTGGATTATTGATAGTGGTGTTATGCTGCACGTTACACCGAGGAAGGAGTTATTCACATCTTACACTTCTGGTGATTTTGGAGTGTTGAAGATGGGTAATGATAGTGTGTCTAAGGTGATTGGTGTTGGTGATATTTGTTTGCAAACCAACATGGGAATGCAGTTGTTGCTTAAAGGAGTCAAACATGCTTCTGATGTTCGTTTTAATTTGATCTTTGTGCAAATGCTTGATGATGGTGTTTATGATAACCACTTTGGTTCTGGAAAGTGGAAACTCATCAAAAGTAACTTGGTTATCACTAGAGGGGAGAAAAATTCTAAACTATATTGAACTAAAGCTTTGGTTGCTAAGGATAGTATGAATGCTATAGATATGGAGGCATCTTTGTGGCACCGAAGGCTTGGTCATATCAGTGAAAAAGGACTTAATTGCTTGGCTAAAAAGGATGTGCTTTTAGGATTGAAGAGTGTAGAGATGGAGAAATGTTCTCATTGCATGACTGGTAAGCAAACCAGAGTATCCTTTAAGAAGCATCCTCCCCCAAGGAAGTCATTGCTTGAATTGGTGTATTCTGGTGTTTATGGCCCATTGAAGGTGAAGTTATTTAGTGGTGTACTTTACTTTGTTACTTTTATTGATGATTGGTCCAGGAAGCTATGGGTTTATGCATTGGTAGAGGAAGGACCAAGTGCTTAAAAAGTTTAAAGAATTTCATGCTTTGGTTGAGAGGCAGTCAAGCAAGAATCTGAAATGCATCTGTTCTAATAATGGTTGTGAGTACCGTGGACCCTTTGATGTCTATTGCAAGTAACAGGGTATCAGACATGAAAAGACTCCTCCTAAAATTCCAAAGTTGAATGGTCTAGCAAAGAGGATGAATAGGACTTTGGTTGAAAGAGTAAGGTGTATGCTTTCTGAAGCAAAGTTGCCTAAGCACTTTTGGGGAGAGGCATTGCTTGCAGTAGTGCATGTTATTAATCTTAGTCCTACAGTTGCCTTGAATACTGAGTTGCCAGACAAAACTTGGTTTGGCAAAAATGTTAGTTATGATTACTTGCGTGTCTTTGGTTGTAAGATATTTGTTCATGTTCCAAAGGATGAAAGATCCAAATTGCACCCAAAGTGGAAGAGTTAGAATTTAAAATAGTAAACTTTTCAAACTTTCATAAGATGTAAAGGTCTAAAGTAAGATGCAGAATCTGAGTAAAAAATATATATCATATATGTAGTGCATGCTTTAAAATTTGTTGGAGACGAAATACTTTATTGAAAGTACAACAAAAAGCATGTAGCAGAGCAAGCTTTAGTTATATGAATAGACTATGTTTCCCTTATCTTTGAAGTTGTCAAATGTGTGTTGTTATTTAAGTTATATTTATTTGACATTTACAATGTGCTTAATTCACATTAATGTGTATGTTGACATCCCTTTTAATCACTGCTTGCTATTTCTCTAAATTTTGGTGTTTGTGTGAACCTTTTATGTAGTTCGTGAGTGTGAGCATTAGGATTCTCTTTCCACAACTTCTTCTGTTGTTCGTGGGGTTACAACATTTGCTACTGTAACTTCTAGAAAAATAAATGTATGTGATGTGTGAGGGACTACTCACTACACTAGAACTGTACTGGCCAGCCAGAAAAACATCTTGTTTCATATTCTCAGTCTTCTCATGGTTCCACATTCGTAACTTCTCTTCTCGCCACAGCCAAATGTAAATGACAGTCTTAACTTCTCTTCTCACATTGATCGATCAATTTTAATCTCTCTTGTCATCAACTTTTCTCATATTAATAGCTCCATTTGATCTGCTTCGGAATGCATGCATTTTGAAGATTTAATGTTCGCTTTCAGGTTAGGGTTTCTATAATCTATTTCTAGTTTTGGTTAGATCATTCACTTCATTTCTAGTTATGCTAGATCATTCACTTGAAGTAGCAATGGTACTGATTTTTCTAACTTTTCTAATTCTAATTCTTCAATATTTTTATTTCCCCGACATATTAGATGTCACGAAATTGGAAACCTTCATTTTTCTTTCTACCTTTATTCATTGTTGGTGGCAAAAAAGGAGTCTAGAAAATGTTAAACTATTTTTCATTAAACTGCATAGTTCCAATTACAGATAAATAAACATAATAAAAACATAAGAAGCAAACATGTAAGGTGTTCTGCTGCTACCTCATGATTAAAAATCATAGTTGCATTAACATTCATGTGCTTCGATTAGTTCATCCACACTTAAGCTTGAGCCAACTGATTGTCAGTGATATTTCTAGTTGTTCCCCACATTTTCCCGCATCCACACCAGTCACTAGCATCTCTTGCTTGTAAACCTTAATCACATATTACATTCTCCACCTAGTATGCTGCCCACTCTCTGTTAACACCCTTGTGGAAGTTTGCAGAATACCCAAAGTGGAAGAGTTAGAATTTAAAATAGTAAACTTTTCAAACTTTCATAAGATGTAAAGGTCTAAAGTAAGATGCAGAATCTGAGTAAAAAA